GTCACATTGGCCAGACACATAGCAACAACAAATATATATATATATATATATATGTACTTACCTAGGGAAGCAATGCATTGCAAGGCGTGCATGTGTTGACGCGTCAGGAATTCAATCAACGAGTTAGCGAGGAGCGTTTGATCAATTGATGTACAAATGTATTTTGAAGTTGTTGGATTAGAGGCGACACCGATGAGATGGGGCGGATTGATGTTTATTCCAAACAGTACAACATTTAGCGTAAGGAGATATTTTTAGGGCCCAATACTTTTTCCTTATATACATTTAAAGTAGTCTTCCAAAGTTTATTTGTAAAGTTCTGAAAGCAGGGTAAAGTTATAAAACATAGAAAGCTAGGTATATAAAATTGGCCATTCAAGATACAGCCCAAAAAATCTTCACATTTTTATACCCTCCACCATATTATGGAGGGTATATTAAATTTGTCATTCCGTTTGTAACACCTCGAAATATAGATTTTAGACCCCATAAAGTATATATATTCTTGATAAGCATAAAATTCTATGTCGATTTAGCTTCCTCTACTCTACTCTAGCTTCCGAACGAATTGAAGTAGGTTGATAAAATTTTACTCAAATGTGTATTATTTCTGCAGGACTTTTCCTGCCTTATCCCTTCAAACAATACCAAATTTAGAAATATTGAGGACGCATATCTAAAACAATCTATATATCTTTCTCCATCCTGGACACCAGCAGTGATCCAAAATTAGGACCATTTGGTAGTTTTTGAAACTTCACCCAATACCAAATTTAGTACGTTTCGAACAATTATGTTAAGAATATACAAAACCGCTTCCTTCTCCCAACCACGCCAATAAATCAATTTGAGGATTTCAGCTCGATAAATTCCTCATTATCAAATTTAGTACCATTTAGTACAATCATAGTACGCACATCCAAAAACAGCTCCTTCAACCACATACACCAACAGTGACATCCACAACAAATTTCAGTATTTCAGCTATATTTCTTCACTCAATACTAAATTTAATAACATTTAGTACGCATATCCAAATCAGTCAATATCTCTCCATCCTAGACGATACGGTTGAAATTAGTATAATTTAATACTCCTCAAACAATCTCATATCCCATATTTGTAACCGAGATAACATTGACCTCAAAATCAAATTTCGGGGGTTCAGCCCTATCTTTTTACCCAATACCAATATTTAGTACCACCTAGTACTTTTCGAACAATTATAGTACACATTTCCAAAACCATCCCCATATCTTAACCACATACACCAACAGTGACATCCATATCAAATTTCAGGCTTTCTGCACTATTCCTTCAACCAATACCAAATTTAGTAATATATAGTACTTTTTGTATACAGTAAACATTTCCAAAACCACCTCCATATCCCAATTCCAGATTTCACAAATTTGAGGATTCAGCTCTATCCCTTCACGCAATACCAAATTTAGTACCATTTGGTACTTTTTGAACAAATACAGGACAAGTTTCCATACCACCACCAATTCTCAAATGCAGATACCGTCAGTAATCTAAATATAATATTCGAGAATTTTGTATTTATACCTTCACCCGATTCCAAATATAGTTCTAATCAGAATTTTCCGTACAATTACGGAAAACATTTTGGAAATCACCTCCATATGTGCATGCTTCACATGAACAGGGACACTAATATCAAATTTCAGATTTCAAGCACTATCTCTTCAAAAAATATCAAATTGTACCAAATATCGTACTACTTAGTACTTTTAGTACACCTGTAGTGCACATTTCCAGAATTACCTCAATATCACAAACCTGCCACCAACAGGGACCCCAAAACAAAACTCCAAAATTATATCTTCATCCGTTCAACCTAAACCAAACTGTTCCAAAGTTAGTACTATTTAGTTTAGTTTGCACAATTAGTACACATTTCCAAAACTACCTTTGTAATATTAAATTTATAACACCAAATGGTACAATTTTAGAATTTTTCGTAACCTTTTCCAAAAACTTTTTGGTACATGCATCCTCCATCAGTGACACTCATTTCAAATTTCAGAATTCTAACTTAATATGTTTGTCTAATATAAAACAAAAAAGTTTTATTATATTTTAGTACTTTTAGTACCCTTTTAGTACGGATTTCAAAAAACTCAGCCTTATCACAAGCCTGACTACCAAGTCTGACTCACTCCTGCCAAATTTCAAAATTCTAGCTTCAGCCCTTTTACCGCCAGCCAGCCGTCAGTAATTTCACTTCACTTTTATATACAGGGTGCTATAAAAAAACTGAAACAAAGTCAAACGCCACAATTTTTACATTTTCTTTTCAATTTTATTGCATGAAGCAAAAAATGCCGTAAATAGCATCAAATTTTAGATTAAGTTTAGATTTGTTCGAATTGGTCACCTTTGGTACGAATTATGGCCTTCAAACGGCCAATGAAACCGTCACACGCTGGCCGAATGTTGTTCTGCGATATTTTGCGAATTCCCGGCGAAGCGCTTGCTTGAGGTGATCGACACTTTGGTATTTTTTAGTGCCAACCTTGCTTTCCAAAATACTCCAGACACAAGAGTCCAACGGATTGGTATCCGGAGATTTTGGTGGCCATTGTGCGCTGGAAATGAAGCGAGGAACCTCATTTTGTAACCATTCTTTGTTGGCGCGTGCTGAGTGCGATGGTGCTGAGTCCTGTTGGAATGTCCAAGGACAGCGGCCAAAATGTTTGCGTGTCCAAGGCTTTAATACACTCTCCAGAATATTTTCGCGGTGATATTAGGTATTTATTCTGATGCCACGGTCGATAAATACGAGCGGACAGCGACCATCAGCTGTTAAGGCGGCCCACACCATCACCATGGCCGGCGCTTGAGTTTTGGTGGCAACCGAAGTTGCACATTTCCAGCTGACCTCTTTGGCGAACTGATCTTTTGAGATCTTTTGAGTCTATTTTCTTTCTGTTGCGGTGTATTTCTGGCATTTTTTGGAATTTCAATGGCTTTACCCCGAGCTCATTTTTCAATATTTGCGAATGGATAATTGCTATATGTTCAGCTCACGAGCCATTTTTCTCTAACGATAGCCACTTGTGGTTTTCCAGCCAAATATAAAGAAATCACACTATCACGTTTGAATTCCATCACAAATAACTTTTTTACTAGAAAATTCTCACCAAAATGCTTTTGTAGGATTGTAAACAATAACATAAGCTGTCACTGGAATAATTTTAACAGCTGTCGGGCGAGTGACTTAGAAATGATAGCAGTCTGAATTTGGTTGCAGGTTTTTCATCTCACCCTATATATAACAACTTTAATTATAAACTTTTGTGTATACTTCTATGATCTATTGTCAAAGCCCAATCTATTTAACTAAACACCTGCATTTATTTGTACTGAAAAAGGACACCGTCAAAAAGGAAATGTATCCAACAAATACCACAAAAAACCGTCAAACAACCAATGAATGACTTGAATCTCTTGCCTGGAGAGCTAAAAAGGAAAATAAAAATTAGTTTCAAAACAACCAAACCGGAGGAAATAATTCAAAAGTTAAATAATGAAAAAAATTATATGTTGTGTCCGAAACATATCAACATTGTAAGCACCTGTCTGTCCGTTGGATATTTTTAATGTCTTCGAAATATGACTGGAAGGAGTTGAAAGATTGCGAAGGAAAATTAAATTGCACTGTTGCTGCTGCCCCTGGTGTTGGCTTCCAGCCACACATAGAGCCAATCATATACGATTTCATTTAAGTGAATCAGCCGGTGTAACGAGGAAAGTTTTATAAGTTTCACATGGTTTTGATTGAATAGATGAAATTGCAGCTGCAGCTGCAACGGTGGAAAGTACAGTGGTTTGGAGAAATGTTAAATACAGGTATTAGATTGGTATTCCTATGAGTTATTTGAGAGAAATAAAAAACAAGTAACCAAAGTCTATAGTCATGCTGTGCCGATCATGTGATACCCCACAACACTACGATTTGGTTGAAGTCCCCTTATGTCCAAAATCATTCTGGAATATTTCGCTTTTAAAATTATGTTATAGAGCACTGGCCAGATATTACCCTTAGCTTTTCGACCAGGGACATTTGTCCAATATTTACGCACTCCGTGGTTCTATTAGTCGTCGCGGGCCATTTTACAGCTGATTATATGGTCATCCAAAATGCTAGACTTCTTCCCTGTCCTTATCTCTGTTCTCATGTAAAATTTGTATCTATTGGTTTCAATTGTGTGATCAGGAAAATTTTTTCTGTTTTTCGTTCATTTGAACCCTGAAATATTTTGCGATCATCACCAAATGCAAGAGACCCCTATGTATCTCCAAATTTAGTCTCATCTATATGATTTACTTGTCTACGATATTTGACTTTATTCGTCAACGAAATCAGTATAAAAAGTCCGAAGTTCGCCATTTGTGTATTTTGGATTTCGCCTGTAAGTTATTTACATCGTTTTGGTAGAAAGGAAATGTTGGTATTTTTGTTGACTCAAAAGTAGTGGACCATTCCGCCCGCTATCCTAAACTCTAACTTCATGCGAGATTTCTATTTGTGACCTTTATAACGGCTGCAAAATCAAGAACATTTATATATTGGGGACATCTTTAAATACAATAAGCCTAGCCCTTTTGAGTCTAACCCTACCCTTATGAAAATTGTCGTGAAGATCGGACGATAATTGCAATCTGTTTATAATAACCCCAACCTGTGTTGTAAGGTAAAATATATTACAAAAAATACACTTCAATATTATAAGTCAAATTGAAACCAGTAAAGAAAGTCCTAAAGTCGGGCGGGCCGACTTTATGATACCCTACACCACTTTGGTAATTTTGTAGAGTTCCACATAACAATTAAAATATTTTATTGGAGAATTTAATTATACACTGTGACGACGAAAGTCATTTCATTTGTTTTCGTCCCCACTTTGTTGTTGAATTTTAAAATTTATTTGTGTAAAGAAAGAGTTGTTATTTAAATATGAATTTCCAAAAAAATCACCGTCCTTTTATTTCCAAAACTTAACCAACCCCCCTCATAGTTATTTACATCAACTTCTTGTTTGGCATTGATTTTAACACTGGACAGTTAGGTTCAATGACCATCATAGTCAAGGCCACGCAGTAGCAGCAAGAAATATTGTTAGATCACACAACTGCAATGCCAATGCATTAAACCAATGCATAGGCAGCCAACAACAAGCAAGCATCACAACGATCGATTCAACCAAAGCATTGCGCCAATGCATAAACACACAACAACAAGCAAGCATGGCACAATGCATAAACGCACAACAACAAACAAGACACACTGGGCATTGATGTAAATGCATGGTAGTGGAGACCGGGCAACGCAGGCATAGCATAACAACAAAGACCATGCATGACAGTGAACCATCGTTCGATGATGGCAAAGCGAAGGCATCAAAGACAAAATTTATAACTGTTTCGTGTGACAACAAAAAGGCTTGGGCATAGAAGGTCTAAGATCACGTGACATGCTGCGAGGCTATAAAAAGGAAAAATCCTATTAGAAGTTCTTGCAGTTTGTGAAGTGAACTACAGCGAAGAAGACAGGTGAGTCAGAGTGGTGAAAAGATAGGAAAACTGTAAGAGGTGTTCATAAGCCCTTCGGTAACTCGCGTTCTCGAGCTAGAGTTTAACCCCTTGAGGTGTCGTAAAGCCCTTGGGTTCTTCGGGTTTCTTCGTATTTCATCCCCTTGAGGTGTCATAAAGCCCTTGGGTTCTTCGGGTATTGACCTCTTGAGGTGTCGTAAAGCCCTTGGGTCTTCGGGTCTATTCGCTTCTAAACCCTTGAGGTGTCGTAAAAGCCCTTGGGTTCTTCGGGAATTAAGCCCTTGAGGTGTCGTAAAGCCCTTGGGTCCTTCGGGCTTCGTCGTTATTAACCCCTTGAGGTGATAAAGCCCTTGGGTTCTTCGTATTTCATCCCCTTGAGGTGTCGTAAAGCCCTTGGGTTCTTCGCTTCTAAACCCTTGAGGTGTCGTAAAAGCCCTTGGGTCCTTCGTATTTCATTTTCTTCGGGTATTAACCCCTTGAGGTGTCGTCAAGCCCTTGGGTTCGTCGTTATTAACCACTTGAGGTGTTTAAGCCCTTGGGTTCTTCGTATTTCTTTCCCTTGAGGTGTCGTAAAGCCCTTGGGTTCTTCGGGTATTAACCCCTTGAGGTGTCGTCAAGCCCTTGGGTTCGTCGTTATTAACCACTTGAGGTGTTTAAGCCCTTGGGTTCTTCGTATTTCTTTCCCTTGAGGTGTCGTAAAGCCCTTGGGTTCTTCGGGTATTAACCCCTTGAGGTGTCGTCAAGCCCTTGGGTTCGTCGTTATTAACCACTTGAGGTGTTTAAGCCCTTGGGTTCTTCGTATTCCATCCCCTTGAGGTGTCGTAAGCCCTTGGGTTCTTCGGGTATTAGCCCCTTGAGGTGTCGTCAAGCCCCTGGGTTCTTTGGTATTAACCCCTTGAGGTGTTAAAGCCCTTGGGTTCTTCGGGTTTCTTCGTTATTAACCCCTTGAGGTGATAAAGCCCTTGGGTTTCTTCGTTTTTCATCCCCTTGAGGTGTTTTGGAGCCCTTGGATTCATCCATGTCAACCCCTTGAGGTGTTTCCGGCCCATCGGGTTTTTATCCTTTTAACCACCAGCACCAAGAGAGCACGAACGTCCTAGGTACCGCTGAACTTGCCGCTTTATATATATTCTTACCCGAACTGTTAAATATAAGTAAACCCCAATCAATTCTGAATAAAATAAACGTATTTGCTTAAAAAACAAACCACTTGCGTTTTTTACTCTCTCGGTCACTTTATAAATTTCTGTGGCAGACCCTCGACCCCGCGAGCATACCTCAGCAAGAAGAAGGGAATTTGGGTCGTTACAGTGGCGCCCGAGCAGGGACCTGAGAGAGTTTAAACGTTAAAAAAGAATTGATTGGAAGGATACGAGAATGCCGGCATCTTTGCGTGTCTCCTGGGCCTACGCCCTGAGAAGGGAAGACTTGTTGGCCTATTTAGAGGAGTTCGGTTGTCCAACATCTGGTACCGTCGAAGAGCTTCGTAGACGGTTCGCCCTCTTATTATCTGAGGACCACTCCCCGGAACGATTCTCTCGACTCATAGAATTGCAGGAGAAATATGAGAAGCCAGCTACCAGCCAGGAATTAAAATTTCTTACCCCGCAGAAAACACCCAGTATAACGGTCACCGCGTCAACTACTCCATCAGGTGAAATCAATCAACCCACAGACGAAAAGCAAAGGAAACAGGGACTGGCCGTGGCTGCTTCTTCAAATATACCCCCCGTACGGCCTGGTACCGATATTAACACAGACAAGGCGGCTTGGGATCCCCGGGCCCTAGCAGACCAGGTCCGAAAATGGAACATCAGTTATGATGGTAGCCGAGGTCCCCTAGAATTTATCGAAAGATTGGAAGAACTGGCCGTCATGTATGAGGTTAACCTGGAATATTTGCCCCGGATGATGCCTGAAGTATTGAAGGAAAACGCCTTGGTATGGTATCGGAACAACAATCAGCAATGGACAGCCTGGAGGCAACTTCGAGAAGACTTCCTCCGTTTCTTTCTGCCGTCTAGGTATTTCGAACAATTGGAGGACGAAATACGGAAAAGAAAACAACGGCCACGGGAACCATTTAAATCATATACATTGAGCATGCAAAATTTGATGCGCCACAGCACATACACGGAAGGCCAGAAGCTTGAGAGAATTTTTCGAAATGCCCTCCCGGAATACCTCTGGTACATAAGACGTCGGGATTTTCATACGCTCAGCGACCTGCTCGAAATGGCAGACGATTTGGAGAGTTTACCTCCCGGCTCCGGTCCCATACGCGAGCAACATCGACAAATAGATCCGACCGACGGGGGGAGCAAACAGGACCGGGTCGATCCAATTACTGCCTGTAGACGCTGTGCTCGACCTGGACATTTTGCATCGGGGTGTAGGAATTCTCAGGTGTTGTTTTGCTGGGATTGTGGTCGTACAGGTGTTCGCACTATTGATTGCTGCCGTGTTATGTCGGGAAACGGCGATCGGATCCGAAAGAACAGAGGGGCAACGGATCCGCGGAAAATGGCCAGTCCTCTCAACTAAGAACTTCGCTTCGCGTAGAAGCAACTAAACTGGTGGCTACTATAATAGTGGCGAGTCAGCCTCTAGCTGCAACGGTGGATACTGGGGCAACCAGTAATTTCATCAGTGAAAAACTACGTGAAACCATTGAACCTTAGCCGACGGTTCCCAACGGCAAATACGAGAAGCGGTTCATACCCAGGTCATATTTGGAAACCGGCGATTGTCAGTCAGATTTCTAGTTATGCCTGATGCCACAGAAGACCTACTACTAGGACTCGACTTTTTGGTTAAAAGCAATGCCCGTATCAGCTGCGCCGGTCTCACCTGCGACTTCGGTGTACAGCCGGAAGCACATCGACTCGGAACAATCATAACCACGTCAGCAGTGGAAGAAGAAGGAGCCAAAGCGGTCGGCCATAAAACGGTAAGTGAGCTTGAAAGAAAGGACCAAGCAAGGATACAATCCTTCTTAGAGGTCGAACTCGGACAATTTGACGAAATTAAAGGCCCGTCTACTGCGGCGATCCATCGAATTAAAATGAAGGACGTCCGGCCCTTTAAGGCCAGATATGCACCCCGAAATCCGGCTATGCAGGCCATCATTGATGAAAAAATAAACGAACTTTTAACATTAGGATACATAGAGCCCTCACATAGCCCGTACAGTTCCCCAATTACGTTGGCCCAAAAAAGAAACGGGACGTGGAGACTATGTATAGACTTCAGGCAACTCAACAGTCGATCTGAACCAGACGCTTACCCACTTCCCAGAATTGATACCATCTTGAATCGACTACGCGAAGCCAGATACGTGAGCAGTCTCGATTTAAAGGACGGCTACTGGCAAATCCCTCTGGAGGAGGACAGTAGAAAATATACTGCATTCACTGTAGCTGGACGAGGGCTATATCAATGGAAAGTCATGCCGTTTGGTCTTCACTCGGCACCCGCAACATTCCAACGCGCATTGGATAGCGTAATCGGACCAGAAATGGAGCCACATGCGTTTGCCTATTTAGACGATATTGTTGTCATCGGAAGAACGTTGGACGAACATTTAGCAAATCTGCGAAAGGTGTTCCAGCGGTTGCGTGAAGCCCGATTACGAATCAACCCCGACAAATGCGAGTTCTTCAAACGGGAGACTAAATATTTGGGCCACGTAATCAGCGGACAAGGCATTCACACTGACCCTGACAAGGTTGCAGCAATTCAGGGGATAGAGCCACCCAAAACACTTAAGGAGTTACGGCGTTTTTTGGGGGTAGTTTCTTGGTACCGGAGATTTGTACCCGACTTTGCCACTATTGCTCAACCCCTAACGTCACTTCTTAAGAAAGGCAAACATTGGAAATGGACGGAAAACCAACAGACAGTGTTTGAAGTGCTCAAAGCCAGACTCACCCAGGCCCCAGTACTCGCCTGCCCTGACTTTTCACGGAGATTTGTCCTTCAGACAGACGCTAGCGATCATGGACTTGGAGCGGTTCTAACCCAGGCTTTCGACGAAGGTGAACGAGTTATAGCATATGCCAGCAGAACGTTGAACAGGGCAGAAAACAACTACTCGGCCACAGAAAAGGAGTGTCTAGCGATAGTATGGGGCATTCGGAAAATGCGCCAATACCTCGAAGGCTACAATTTCCTGGTCATAACGGATCACATGGCGCTAAAATGGCTCAACTCCATTGAGAATCCCACTGGAAGACTAGCTCGCTGGGCGTTGGAGTTGCAACAATACACGTTTACCATAGAATACCGGAGGGGAAGCTTAAACGTAGTAGCGGATGCCTTGTCCAGACAGCCGGTGGAACCACTGATGAGAGCTGTGGAGGAATCCGTTACTCAGTGTCCCTGGATTAAAGAAAAATTGCAAGCGATCGAGAAGAACCCGGAGAAGTTTCCAGATTACGCCATAGTAGGCTCAAACTTGTACAGGCATATTCAAAGGACCAAGGATGACGAGGACGACACGCCATGGAAGTTATGCGTTCCTTCCCAACTGCGTGAGCGAGTTCTCCGGGAAAATCATAGCCAACCGGCAGCCGGACATCTAGGTATCCGGAAGACCATCAACAGAACGTGTGGACGCTATTATTGGCCTGGTATGACTCGTGATGTGACGCGCTTTGTGAAGAAATGTGAGTCGTGTCAAAGATACAAGCCAAGTCAGACAGCCCCGGCGGGAGAAATGTTAACTTCGGTACCGGAGGAACCCTGGGCAGTAGTGTGCGCTGACTTCGTGGGCCCAATGCCACGCACCAAGCACGGAAATAGCATGCTCTTAGTATTTCTGGACCGGTTCACGAAGTGGGTTGAGTTAGTCGCGATGCGGAAAGCCACGGCAGAGGGGGTGATAAAAGCATTTAGGGAAAGGATACTATCTCGATTTGGCGCACCGAAGTTATTCGTTACCGATAACGGAAGCCAGTTCACCAGTAAGGTACTGAACGTTTTCCTGGAAGAAACTGGAGTACGCCGACAATTTACTGCGCCATATTGTCCACAGGAAAACCCCACGGAGCGAGCCAACCGAACGATAAAGACAGTAATCGCTCAGCTAGCAGGCAATCAGCACAACAAATGGGACGACTTTCTGCCGGAAATTACATTGGCAGTTAATTCAAGTGTTTCTGAGTCAACGGGGTACAGCCCGGCTTTTCTTGTGCAGGGTCGAGAACCAAGGCTTCCAGGTGCTCTATTCGATGAGATAACCATCGGTTCGGGTGCTCGAGTTGTAGAGCCTTCGAAGAGGGCGGTCGAACTACGTGAGATTTTCCAAATAGTAAAGAAGAATTTGGCTCAAGCTGGAGAAAATCAGAAAAGACGGTATAATCTCAGACGTCGTAAGTGGACTCCAGTTGTCGGAGACCTGGTTTGGGTAAAACAGCACCCACTGTGAAAAGCTACAGACAATTTCGCGGCGAAATTGGCACCTAAATACGATGGGCCCTTCGAAATTATTAGTTTCCCTTCTCCGGTGATCGCGAGGGTTCGGAAAGTTAACGGGAAACACGAAAGGAACGCTCACCTCGGGGATATGAAACCTTACGTTTTACCGTCTGAACATCTAAATTGTGTAGGTACTAACATAGATACTGTTTCTTCTACCTCAACAGATTCCCAAAAATTAATAATGGACCAACCTACCCAACCATTACGTACAAAGGCTTTTTACAAGCATCAATACCAGCTTGTGGAATCCCTTAAACCCTGCTCCGTTGTGCTCACGAGGTTGGAAGAAAAGGAAACGCATGCACTGCGGAACAAGAACGCAGGGTCCAGTCCTACCCCTAAGCCATCTAAAAGGGCCAACACCACCAAGCCCAAAAAGAGTAGGCTCCCCAGCCAAAAGAAGATGCGGCGTGATGTACCATCCTCATCACCGGTAGTAGTCGAGACTATCGTCATCTCATCTGACGATGAGTTACCATCCACCCCGCCTCGAAGGCCACCTGTGGTACACGACTACCCGGTCACCCCCCCTCCTACAGTGTCACCCATGGCAGCCGGAGACACCATACCCGACTTACCACCGACGCCAGGTCGCACACTTTTTATGACCATGGGATTTCCACCGGCGACCGTACGCAACGTAGGTTTGGATCTGTCCCCTCGGTATGCACCGGACTCGGATTCGGAGACCGAATGCTACCAACCACATATTAATCGCCGGTTGGAGCAGGTGAGAAGCCCGAAACCCCCGACAGTATCCAGTGTGGTGGTCGTACCGGTAACCTCGGAAAAATCGGTTGAGGACATCCAATTTGAATGCCGGGAAATGCTACCAGAGGAAGTTAGGAGCGAATTACAGCCGTGTCTACGAGATGCTCTTCGCCGCTGGATACCTCACCACCAACACAAGCGGGTTTTTACCATTGGCGGGAGAAAGCTCCGGGTCCACGTCAATCGACAAGGGAAAATTTTTGTGCGGATGTTGTGAAGGCAGCCGGCTCGTTTAGAGAGGGGAGGCAGTGTGACGACGAAAGTCATTTCATTTGTTTTCGTCCCCACTTTGTTGTTGAATTTTAAAATTTATTTGTGTAAAGAAAGAGTTGTTATTTAAATATGAATTTCCAAAAAAATCACCGTCCTTTTATTTCCAAAACTTAACCAACCCCCCTCATAGTTATTTACATCAACTTCTTGTTTGGCATTGATTTTAACACTGGACAGTTAGGTTCAATGACCATCATAGTCAAGGCCACGCAGTAGCAGCAAGAAATATTGTTAGATCACACAACTGCAATGCCAATGCATTAAACCAATGCATAGACAGCCAACAACAAGCAAGCATCACAACGATCGATTCAACCAAAGCATTGCGCCAATGCATAAACACACAACAACAAGCAAGCATGGCACAATGCATAAACGCACAACAACAAACAAGACACACTGGGCATTGATGTTAATGCATGGTAGTGGAGACCGGGCAACGCAGGCATAGCATAACAACAAAGACCATGCATGACAGTGAACCATCGTTCGATGATGGCAAAGCGAAGGCATCAAAGACAAAATTTATAACTGTTTCGTGTGACAACAAAAAGGCTTGGGCATAGAAGGTCTAAGATCACGTGACATGCTGCGAGGCTATAAAAAGGAAAAATCCTATTAGAAGTTCTTGCAGTTTGTGAAGTGAACTACAGCGAAGAAGACAGGTGAGTCAGAGTGGTGAAAAGATAGGAAAACTGTAAGAGGTGTTCATAAGCCCTTCGGTAACTCGCGTTCTCGAGCTAGAGTTTAACCCCTTGAGGTGTCGTAAAGCCCTTGGGTTCTTCGGGTTTCTTCGTATTTCATCCCCTTGAGGTGTCATAAAGCCCTTGGGTTCTTCGGGTATTGACCTCTTGAGGTGTCGTAAAGCCCTTGGGTCTTCGGGTCTATTCGCTTCTAAACCCTTGAGGTGTCGTAAAAGCCCTTGGGTTCTTCGGGAATTAAGCCCTTGAGGTGTCGTAAAGCCCTTGGGTCCTTCGGGCTTCGTCGTTATTAACCCCTTGAGGTGATAAAGCCCTTGGGTTCTTCGTATTTCATCCCCTTGAGGTGTCGTAAAGCCCTTGGGTTCTTCGCTTCTAAACCCTTGAGGTGTCGTAAAAGCCCTTGGGTCCTTCGTATTTCATTTTCTTCGGGTATTAACCCCTTGAGGTGTCGTCAAGCCCTTGGGTTCGTCGTTATTAACCACTTGAGGTGTTTAAGCCCTTGGGTTCTTCGTATTTCTTTCCCTTGAGGTGTCGTAAAGCCCTTGGGTTCTTCGGGTATTAACCCCTTGAGGTGTCGTCAAGCCCTTGGGTTCGTCGTTATTAACCACTTGAGGTGTTTAAGCCCTTGGGTTCTTCGTATTTCTTTCCCTTGAGGTGTCGTAAAGCCCTTGGGTTCTTCGGGTATTAACCCCTTGAGGTGTCGTCAAGCCCTTGGGTTCGTCGTTATTAACCACTTGAGGTGTTTAAGCCCTTGGGTTCTTCGTATTCCATCCCCTTGAGGTGTCGTAAGCCCTTGGGTTCTTCGGGTATTAGCCCCTTGAGGTGTCGTCAAGCCCCTGGGTTCTTTGGTATTAACCCCTTGAGGTGTTAAAGCCCTTGGGTTCTTCGGGTTTCTTCGTTATTAACCCCTTGAGGTGATAAAGCCCTTGGGTTTCTTCGTTTTTCATCCCCTTGAGGTGTTTTGGAGCCCTTGGATTCATCCATGTCAACCCCTTGAGGTGTTTCCGGCCCATCGGGTTTTTATCCTTTTAACCACCAGCACCAAGAGAGCACGAACGTCCTAGGTACCGCTGAACTTGCCGCTTTATATATATTCTTACCCGAACTGTTAAATATAAGTAAACCCCAATCAATTCTGAATAAAATAAACGTATTTGCTTAAAAAACAAACCACTTGCGTTTTTTACTCTCTCGGTCACTTTATAAATTTCTGTGGCAGACCCTCGACCCCGCGAGCATACCTCAGCAAGAAGAAGGGAATTTGGGTCGTTACAACACGCTATGATTATAATTGTAATTTAAAGTTCAAAGGACTAAATATGCCGCAGCATTTGTATCTTTTAAATTCGGACTTGTATTGCCCATTTGGTGCACAATTAATTTGAAATCAGATAAAGATATATATGGGGCTATATCCAAATCTGAACCGATATCGATAGAATTTGGCAAAGATATTTCTGAGCTGTATTTGATATATTTCCCTGAATATCGTTGTTACCGAGTGCATATTACGGATGTGGGTAGCAAATACAACAAATCGGATAAACAATATATATGGGAGCTATAGCTATATCTGAACCGATCTTCACCAAATTTGGCATACTAGCTTTTAGACTCAATTCGGTCGTATGTGCCAAATTCCATCTCATTTGGGCAAATATTAGACGTCTGGTGTACAATAAAAGGTAAATCGGGCGAAGTTATATATGGGAGCTATATCCAAATCTGAACCGATCTCGATAAAATTTAACAAATGTATTTCTGAGCTGTATTTGATGTATTTCCCCAAATATTGTTGTTATAGAGTGCATATTACGGTTGCAGAAGACAAAAATAACAAATCGGACGAACAATATATATGGGAGCTATAGCTATATCTGAACCGATTTCGATCAAATTTGGCATACTTATTTTCATGCCTAATTTGGTTGTATGTGCAAAATTCCATACAATTCGGGCTGATATTACACGTTTGGTGCACAATAAAAGGCATATCGGACGAAGATATATATGGGAGCTATATCTAGTTTTTGGCCGATTATCTCCAATTTTAATAGGGTTCGTCCGTGGGCCAAACAAATGTTGTTTGGAAAATTTCATCTCAATCGGATAATAAATGCGACCTGCATTTTGTTCACAACAATGCATGGACAGACGGACGGACGGACGGACGGACGGACAGACATGCATAAATCAACTCAGAAAGTGATTCTATGGAGATCCTCTAAAGTAACTATTGGTCTATCTCACTTCTTTCTCCATGTTACAAACAAATGCACAAAGACATAATACCCTTACCACTATGTGATGTAGGGTATAAAAATCGCATGCGATAAAAAATATGAAAAAGAAGAAAGGATCATCCGATTTTGTTCAAACAAATCAGATGATAAAATGGATGATACAGACCCACTCATTCAAGTACCTTCCCCACAAAGGGTTAAAAGTTTGAATAATCTAAGCGCAAATAATATATGAAAAAAGAGTCCAATTGTATTGGAATTTCGACTATGCCAACATTTCTAAGAACTATAGATATTGTATGAAGATGGAAAAGATCGGACCATAAATTCCGGTACCTTCTCCAGAAAGGGTGACAATTTTGAATAACCATGAAGTTCATAAAACACGAAATGAGTAACTGATTCCTTTCAAACTTGGCTCGTCGCAATATTTTTGTCAACACAAAATGAGGTGTGAAGATATAATATATTGGACCACTTTTTCTGGTACCTCCTCTACAAAATTTTGAATACTTTTATCTCTCATAAAACGAAAAAATAAGCATCCGATTCTCCTCAAATGTAACTCCTCCTAATATTTTTATTAACACAAGATCTGATGTGAATGTGGCATATTTCGATCCACTCCTTCTGTTAACTCCCTCAGAAAGGGCTCACATTTTTATACCCTACACCACAAGGTGGTCAGGGTATTATGTCTTTGTGCATTTGTTTGTAACAGGCAAAAGGAAACGAGATAGACCCATAGTTCCTTTTTATGATCTGCATAGAATGACATTCTGAGTCGATTTATGCATGTCCGTCCGTCCGTCTGTTCATGTATTTTTGTAAACAAAGTACAGGTCGCATTTATTGCCCGATCCAGATGAAATTTTGCACAGATCATTTTTATGGTCCAAGGACGAACCCTATTTAAATTGGAGATAATCGGTCAAAATTTAGATATAGGTCCCATACATATCTTCGTCCTATTCGCCTTTTATTGTGCACGAAACGTGTAATATCAGCCTGAATTGTATGGAATTTTGCGTATACACCCAAATTAGGCATAAAAATAAGTATGCCAAATTTGATTGAAATCGGTTCAGATATAGCTATAGCTCCCATATATAATGTTCATCCGATTTGTTATTTTTGCCCTCCGCAGCCGTAATATGCACTCTGCAACAACAATATTTGGGGAAATATATCAAATACAGCTCAGAAATACATTTGCTAAATTTTATCGAGATCGGTTCAGATTTGGATATAGCTCCCATATATAACTTCGTCCGATTTATTTTTTATTGTGCACCAAACGTGTAATATTTGTCCAAATGGGATGGAATTTGGTACTTACGACCGAATTGAGTCTAGAAGCTAATATGTCAAATTTGGTGAAGATCGGTTCAGATATAGCTATAGCTTCCATATATATTATTCATCCGATTTGTTATATTTGTTACCCATAGCCGTAATATGCACTCCGTAACAACGATATACAGGGAAATATATCAAATACAGCTCAGAAATACATTTGCTAAATTTTATCGAGATCGGTTCAGATTTGGATATAGCTCCCATATATATCTTTTTCCTATTTCAAATTAATTGTGCACCAAATGGCCAATACAATTCCGAATTTAAAAGATACAAATGCTTCGGCATATTTAGTCCTTTGAACTTTAAATTATAATCATAGCGTGTATGATTGAATTCTCCCATAAAAAACTTTTAATTGTTATGTAGAGCTCTACTAAATTAGCAAAGTGGTGTAGGGTATCACAAAGTCGGTTCCGCCCGACTTTAAGACTTTCTTTACTGGTTAAATAACAAAAAACGCTCATGAAATACAAAATAAGCATATCAAACTTTGGTCAGATACGAAATGTACAATATTGGCCCACCCCCACTATCATCAAATTGAAAAATATATCAAATGCGAAATATTATTGCCCGGAATAAAAACGTCATTCAAAACTCATAAACTCTCATGTAAAGGTCACTAGTTATTTTTTCTTGGATCTTTGAAAATGTTATTATAAAAGAACTTTGATATTTTATTTGTTTTAACTCAATAAGAATTTGAAAAAAGTAAATCTGTTTAAATATGCTCTTTCTGTAATTGAATTAAATCTAATTTTTTAAACATTAACAAATGTTAAAATAGCAAAAAATAAAACAAAATGGAAGTAGAATCATTTTGTGTCTGAAGACCTTAATTTGCTACTTAAAAATTCACTTTCAAAGCACTGTCGTCCATTTACAAACGACAGACGTAACGACGGACGCACGAACTGCATAACAAGAAGAAAAATCCGTCAAAAGAAAAACTCTTCAACCAATTTGTTAGTAAATACAAACTGACAACGTATAAACACACACACGATCACTTCAAGTTGATGTCTCGTTGGTGTGGTAGACAGAAAGCCACAAATCAAATAAATAACCAACTCCGTAAAATGTTTCTCCTTTTTTATACCCTACACCACATAGTGGTAAGGGTATTATGTCTTTGTGCATTTGTTTGTAACATGGAGAAGGAAACGAGATAGACCCATAGTTACTTTTGAGAACCTTCATAGAATCACTTTCTGAGTCGATTTATGCATGTCCGTCCGTCTGTCCGTCCGTCCGTCCGTCCGTCCGTCCGTCCGTCCGTCCGTCCGTCCGTCCGTCCGTCCGTCCGTCTGTCCATGTATTCTTGTGAACAAAATGCAGGTCGCATTTATTATCCGATTGAGATGAAATTTTCCAAACAATATTTTTTTGGCCCAAGGACGAACCCTATTGAAATTGGTGAGAATCGGATCAAATTTAGATATAGCTCCCATATATATCTTCATCCGATTTCGGGTTAAATGAGCACCAAATGTCCACTATCAGTCCAAATTACCTGAATTTTGGCACACCCAACCGGGTTCGGCCTAGAAGCAAGTATATCAAATTTGGAGAAAATCGGTTCAGATATAGCTATAGCTCCCATATATATCTTTCATCCGATTTGATCTTTAAGTCCCTCACATTCCTACTATGCACTCCACAACCGTGATATTTGGTACCAGGTATTAGGTGGAGCACAGAAATAGCTGTTTTAAATTTTATCGAAATCGGTTCAGATTTGGATATAGCTCCCATATATATCTTCATCCGATTT